TCCTCCTCCTCCTCATCTTCCTCCTCCTTCCCCTCCCCCTCCTCCTTCTCCTCCCTCGGTTGTGGCTTAGACGCTTCATTTACCTGGTTAAGTCATAAATTAGGGCATTTTGCCCGAGAACTTTAAGTCAGCATGTAAGGCTGTCAAGCGTGCCGCCGCAAAACATAATCACAACTGCACCACTGACAACAGTTCAGTAGCATGTTGAGGGGAGGATTCGGTTCAGTTCAGTTTATTTGAGGGAAAGCAGGTGTCTACCTTGGAAATCCCTATTTGTAACACGCAGAGGAAGTGTATGGGAAAAGTGGGAAGGGAGCAGCAAGGGAGAAATACAAGGGGCATATCAAAAACTGTACAGATGAACACAGTATTTGACGGCATATGGACTTGGTTTGGTGATTAATACAGTACATATTTGAAGCACACCCAAGCTACAGGAAAAGTAGTAAGATTTGTAGTGTGCAAGCCTCTTGGCGAATGCAAGCAGGTGTGCTCCCCGTGGTTCAAAAATACTAAATTACACTGGCAAACGTCACTTAAATATTGGTAGTAGCATGATGGCATTAAATTTTAACGAGGGCTATCAGGACAGTAGCAGTCAGGTAGCATTCTGGAGCGCACTGAAATGTTGATCCAGCTTCCTTTTAAGCATTTCTATGGATCCAGATATAACAACGTTCTCAGGCAAAGCATTCCAAGCTGCAACCACTCTGTTGGATTAGAGCTTCCGACAACCCACTGCAGGACCATCTGCGGCCAGCCATAAATTTAATTTCGTGATTTCATTCCTTTGTAATACATCCCGGACGTTTACTTAAATTTTTCCTCTAAAAATACGTAAATGGCTGCACTTTATGCTGATTGTATATAATTACACTTAAAATTTCATATGTGCATTGAAAAGACCGCCTGCCACGCCTTTCGAAGCCTCGCCCTGTAAAATGTTTTCGTAAACAAATATGTTACTGACAACATTCTAGTAAGATGTGCATTTAACATTTACATGGTATGTACCGTTTTCAATAGGGTCATTAAGGGCATTGCCTATTAGCCTAAAAT